TCGTAGTGCAGCGTGAGAACGGATTGCGTTTGTATGTAAAATTGTTACCATCAAAGGGAGAAGCGGGGGTGAGAGTATAACAAAATGGCAATAAATAAATAAATAATTCAGACTGAAAGTGACGAAGCATTCACAAAATAATTTATATACATATGTACATATAACTATTTTAGGACATTTTTCCAGTTATGGTAATACATGAAAGTTCGTTACATGACCTTAATGAGCGGCTCAGTGGCCAAAATAAACATGTCGACTGTCAACAGTTTCGCGGAAATCTGGTAGTCGATAGCAATCCAAATGTACCACCTTATGATGAGGATCGTTGGTTGTGGCTGAAATTCGGTAATGACGCAGAACGCTCGACGATCATAAGGTATAATTCCGATTGTTTACGATGTATTGTGGTCAATATAAATGTGGAGGATTATACGCGGGATACCAATTTTGAACCGCTTAAAACTTTGAAGAAGTAAGTTCTAAGAAAAAAAGAAGCAAGTGCCTTCGAAAATAAAACTTATTAAAGAAATTATTTTTCAGATATCGCCTCCTCCAAAATCCAAAAGAACCATCCATGGGTGTTTATTTTGATGTTTATAAATGTGGCATGCTAAATATTGGTGATCCTATTTATGTGCAATATAGGTAGATACAAAAAAAGCGGAAGTTAATAAATACAATTATATGTGGGTACGGTCACTCCAAGCTTCAGCTCGATGGCTCTCGCATTGCACTTAGCCTAGATTATTAACAAAAAACATAGATAATATTAAATTTTAAGGAATCTACATATTTACATATGTATATGCCGTAATATCTAAATAATTTTGTTAAAAATTTGTTAAAACAACTAGCCTTTTTAATTTCCCAAATTGCGATCCACGTTAAAAAACAATAATCCGTGATGTTCAGTGGAAAAGTACAGCAAGCCTCGGATGAAGAATACAAACTTATAATTTAATGAACCGCTTCTATGATTTTTTTTTTAAATTGTGCAAGGCGATCATGATTTCATGTTGGACAAGGGAGATAACTGTGGTCAAACAATCGGAAAATTCAGCCTTCACGTCGAAACGATAAAATAAAATAAATAATAAATAAAAAATCATTGTAGCATCTCTAGAGGAGAGACGAGTGAAACGAAAAGCCAAAATGCGTGAGAGCTGGAGATAATGGCCGACAGAAATATTTAGGAATTTTCATGCCTCCAGAATGACGACGTACGGAAGGTACTGGCCATATTCTTCTAAGAACAAGAACGACGAACTGGTGACTGGTGCCCAGAACTTGAGGGAACATTTGCCCAACCTGCCGAATGGTATCAGTGACGGCAACTATAGAGATGACCATGATCCGTATTCACCAATCAATGCTTATGGAGTTGATGTTGCGTTAACAGATAATCACGAAGTTTAAACAAATGAAATGAAAAATAACAAAGCTGCCGAAGCCAATAGTCTATCAGCTGGGCTATTTAAATACAGGTATTTAATTAGGACCTGCGACAGGAGCCACACACATCATCTATTTGCCTATCTTCAAGCCACCTTCGGTAGCAAATGAGGTTTATAACAAAAGACTTCTTACCTTATTTGTGTGGATGTCGGATATGATTAAAAAAGCTTCATAGCTGCACTGGGTATGCCGATGAAACCGACATCATAGCCTTTAACCATCGCGCCGTTTATTTAGGCAACTATGTAGGTTAGTGTTGATAGCTATAATTTAGAAGTCCTAGTAGATTTCGTCTACCCGGGAATCAGAATTGAAATGCAATGAAGAATCTCTCTCTCTGGTAGACTGAGGATGTTTATGCGAAAAACGATGCCTAAAAATATTTAACTCCTAACTATAATCAAAACGTATAAATTTGTATACATTTTGTTTCTAGTTATGTGGTACATATTTTTAGGCTTCGTTTTGTGCATAAACCTCCGGAGTCGACCTGCTAGTGCTTCGTTGGAATGACAATATATATATTTATAAATCTATCGCCATGTCCTCCTAATCAGATGAAGACGACTTTGGAGTGTTCGAGATATAGATTCTACAAAAGATTTTTAGGCCTTCAGATATTTGTAAGTATCGAAAATAATGGAATCATGAGCTGTATTAACTTTACAATGACGTATTTTTGGTTATGTTACTAGATGTTCAGGATTTTTCTACCAAGTATAAGCTTTCCTTCTTCCATTATCCCGTCCCATCGCTTCTGAACCCTGACTCTGTCAGAACCAAATCTTGGCGCTCCTCTTGCCAGATCCGGATTTTGGTATATCTCTTGACCTCAAAATGTATTGTTGTGGCTTTTTAATTGGTGAAAACATTTATTATTTTTTTTTTGTTATATTGATTACATTTATTTTGTTTGAAATTTCGGCTGAACGATCCATCTCGACGATGACTTATAACCAGGGATAGGATTTATAGGCGCTAAAACCTGAGAAATAGGCA